AGCCTGCCAGTTTATAAAAACAGCCAGGTCTGTGTTTATAATTAGACAGAAAAAACAACCATATGTTGTCGAGGAGAAGAAGCTGATTTTATTGCCTTGACACTTCCCACCTCCCTTAGTAACTTCCTTCCTGGGACTGCTGGAAAAGGAGTCATTTGACCACTAGGGTCAGATCCTAGAATTGGCACAGGAGAGTCTCTGCCTCAGGTGTTTCCATCCTTTTGCTAAAGTGAGGGGTCGTAGCAATCATGCCTCTTCACCTTGGGGAGGCCAACCTTGATTCCCAATGTCAAAGAGGAGAGTCAGCTCAGGCAGCCCTTGACCATGCTTTGGAGGTGGAGGCAGTGCTTGGTTCCACGTAGATGGATGGGTAGGATTGGCTCAGGTAAAGGTTCGTCTTGGCTCAGGGGACTCTTGGCGTCGCTAGGAATCTGAGATGACTGAGATGAGGGCCATGCTTGTATCAAGTAGAACCTGTGCCCCTGAAGGGCGAGCATCTTGGACGCTGGAATCCAGGCTTCCTGCCTCCACACTGGCGTTCTTTCCACAGCACTCACCTGGCAACTTGACAAACCTGTATTTTTCTCCTCAAGTTGATTTCCCAGATAAGTTTACTTTTCCCAAAACTTGCTCCACAAAACAATAGCCCTCCAAGATGCAGGGTGACCACCAGGGTTAGAGGTCACATAAATTCTAGAAACGAGGCCCCACACCCTCCCCGAGAGAGTCACAAAGCACCTTGACTCCTCAAAAGCTTAGAAAGCACACAGAATCTGTTTAATGCTGTTCAGCACAACCTTTTCAAGACTTTTTAACCGTGGGCTTGTATTTCACAGCACAGAACTACTGTTCCACCAGACACACTTTGAGAAATACTGAAATTTTTTTTAAAAGTCAGCAAAGAAACTTTTGTTAGGTAGAAGAGACAACCAAGACAACTCAAATACATGGATTTATCTGCCCAATCGGGTGCTCTTTTCCCATCAATCAAAATTATGAGTTGATATTTACTATTTGTGGGAGGCCCAAGAGAGGCTGTGGTAGAGACAGGGAGGGCTCCGTTCATGAGCTCAGGCCACGTGGGCCTGACAGGCCTCCTGGAAGGCCGTGAGAAATTCTAGGCACACATCTGGGTCTATCTTGTGTCTAACAGGAAAAACTCCATCTTCTTTTTCTGTTCCAGGAATTGGGTCAGAAACAGTCATTTACTCTTAGTAAAACACTTTGATGCCCTCGCTTGAAAATCCTCACCAACTGGAGCAGCTATTATTGTCAAGGCGGAGGATGGGGACAGGCTTAGAAGCCACTGAACAGGAAAACGCCCACCTACTAAATATTCTGTGACAGTGGGGTGGGGTTGAGGGCAAGAATGTTGAAGAAGCAGTTTCAGGTCTAAGAGCTAAAACCAAAGAAGGGAAGCCTTTTAAATCTCGTGTGAATGGTAGATGGCATAGAGTGGACTGAATGTGACCCCTGAGGAAAAAGCTCAGAATTTTCAGAAAATGTGTTACCTTTAACCAGAAATGTTTGAAAAGGAAACATTCCTAGAAGGTTGGCTGATTGTGTAAATATTTAGGTAAAGTTTATCTCTATCTACATTCATTTGTCTTCTATTTAACGTAATATTTCATTTCTAACATAAAGAGAAGAAAATCTGCTCTTGAAGTTAGACGGTTTAATTCACAGAGTAAAAATTTTTTAATGTAACCCAATGCGTAGGGATGAAAAGAGTAGGCTCTGGAGTCAGAGGGCTGGGGTTTAAATCCTAACCACAGAGCTTACCAGCCACGTGTGCTCGGCAAGTTCATGCAGGCCTCTGAACCTCAGCTCCTTTCACCTCAAACAGGTCTTCATAGGATTGTTGCGGAAGCTGAATTGTAATATATGTCATGCTTAGCACAGTGCCCAGCTCATAATTACTGCAAGACGGGCAGTGGGTTGATAAGAGTCATAATTGGAAAAAGTAATCACCAATAGTAATAACTTAATAATAATAATAATAATAATAAAAGATAGGGAGGCACTGGGAGAACCACTTTGGAAAACTGTGTGGCAGTATCTATCAAAGCTGACTATTTGCATAATCTTTGGCTCGGTAACCCTATTCCCTACTGTGCGCGTCTGGGTGTGCATAAATATGCGGCTGTTATATTTTTATATCCGCATTATACATGGCCTTCCCACAAGCAGCTCTGGTGTTAATTCCATAGCCCTGGGCACTGCTGTCATCAGGCAATCTGGACACCTGCTGCACAGCCGCAGTTTCAGTCTGGGTGCCTGTTGTTTCCTTCAGGTTCCACTACAATCCGGAGGCCCCCACAGGTCACCTCGTTTTTCCCTCCATAACCAGTGGGCACATGCTTCTCCCTCATGGGATTTCCTACCGCCTCGCTGTCTTTCTACATCTAACGGGTGCTCCCGGCCCAAACAAAATCCCACCTCGTTCTCAGTGCTCTCTGGGCCCAGCCACCTCAGGCAGAGGTACGCTCTCCTGCCAGTGAACACCAGTTAGCCTGTGCCCTCCCACAGGGCAGGAAAGGGGTCTTGTTCTTCCTGGTGTCCTGGTGGGGACTAGCACAGAGTCTGGCCAAGAAGATTTGTTTTGTTCTGTTTTCCTGAAGGACAAGCACAGTCTAATTCTTTTGGCAAGATTGGGTGGCCAGAGGTGCCATGTGATGTACAAGTCAAAGCAAAGCCATCCAGAGGGTGCCTGCCCCAGTGTGTGGTCCAAAAGCCATGAGTCACAGTGGAAGGAATGTGGGCTTGGGGGTCAGAGAGAGCTGGAGCCATACCCTGCTGTTTACCAAGCTGGATGCTTCACCCAATTCTTTGAGCCTATATTTCTTCATGAACTAGGTGGCATAGCCCCTAAATCTGGGGTTATTGGGTGAGTGAGCAAATGGAGTAACATCCATAAAGCTCTTTCACATATAACACCTGGCCCATTAAAGATGCTCTATGCAACTGGGCTGGTTGCATCTAGGGATGTTTTGGTTGACAAGAAAGGGACTACCAGGATAAGACAAATATTTGGGGACTCCAAAATGGAGAAGGTATAGACGAGAGAGGAATTCTTCTAGGTGCATTCAGTGTCCATTTTTCAAGGGTTAGTGCCAGTTGGAGGATGCTGGCATCAAGTACAGAGGTTAGGAGTTCCATATCTGAGCTTAGTCTGCATGAGTTCAAATCTAGCCACCAGCTTTCATTAGCTCTGTGACCTTGAGCTGATTATATATCTATTCTGTATCTCAGTATCCTCCTTTATAAGAGGGGATTTCCTTCTCATATGTTTTTTGTGATTATTAAATGAGATAATATACCTGTAACCAGTTTATTGGTGAACTGGGCTGGGCAGGTGGTAGGAAAATGCGACTTAATTCTTTCTTTCCAGCGTCCTTGCAAACCCAATCTGTTGCATCTTCCTCCCCATCCCCAGACCTAATCCCCTAAACCAAATGCCTTAGACAAGCACTTCTCCAGTCACTTCCATGTAATAAAGACATTTTCAGAGATGATAAAACCCAGAATTCTTCTAAATCAGAACTTCAGTCTCTCTTGATTTAAAGCTTCTCCAGCCACCACAGCTGGGGTCTGGTTCGGGCTCACTAACCCAAAGGGGAAAGGAAGTAGATGTGGGCTTCCTCACCATTTTGCCCACCACGCTCTTCCACCCCTCCGCCCCCCCCCCCCCCCCACAATACCCAAGATAGGGCAAGGGAAGGAGGGAGGGGGGAGCAGCAGAAAGACCTGACTTGACTGGTCAGTTGTAATCTAATATTTGGTACAAGAGGTGCCAAATGTCATCTGCTTCTCACAGGGTGCTCCTGTGGGTTCTTTGGAGACTCCACACCCTCCCTGGGTAGAGCTTTTGAGCAGAGTCTCAAAATAATCAAGCCTGGCCACCTCCACGTGTCACTGTAGCTGATAGCAAGCCAGCATTCTCCTCTCCACTCCCGCTCTATCCTATTTTTCCTTGTTTTGCCTTAGGGGCCCCTCCAGCCGGCCTCTGTCCTGTAGTTCGAGTCCCAGGTTTCTCAGCCTCGGCTCTGTGAGATTATTCTCTGCTATGGGGGCCTGTTCTGGGCATTGTAGGATGTTTAGCAGCATTCGTGGCCTCTACCCACTGGATGCCAGGAGCACTCCTCCCCTTAGGTATGATAACAAAAATGTCCCCAGGCAATGCCAAATGTCCCCTAGGGGGCAGGATTGCCCCTAGTTGAAAACCATGGGACTAGACTCTTCCAGACAAGAGCTAATCAAAAATCTCAGTGCTTGCTAAATTCCAGGAGACACATTAAGCCCCCTGAACACTTGGCTTTAAGAGGCACTAATCCCTGCCCTCCTCTAAACACTCACTAAGCTTTTCCCATACTTTCTATTTCGTAGCGTGGCGAAAGGGGATAACGAGCCAAGAGTGGCGAAACCTGATTTGGGCACCCTCAGCAATCCTGCCCAAATGGTCTTTCTTTTTTAGCATGTGGGGGCATTTGTCACTCTTTGTACTCAATAGACACATTCTATTTGAGTATGCCGCAGGGACAGGAAAAGGGCTGCGTTGAATACTGGGTTCAGGGACACCATAATTAATTTAAAACAAATGTACATGACATTGAGAGAAATGTACTTAATAAGAAATTATTCTAAGTATACATAGCTGAGTTACTAAAATCACATTTTGAAACTGAGTCCAAAGTGAAAAGGCTGGAGAAAATTCCCGTGTCCTCCTGGAGGCTTCTGGTTCCATTGTGGACGATTATGTGGTGGGAAGTCATTCTAGCACTCGCCTTGTCCTTTCCTCCCGAGGAAGAAAGGGAGCGGGAGGAGGAAACAGAGCTGGTTGCAGGAAGAAAGGGAATAGGGGCAGTAATTATCCTCGCTCCTTTTTGTTGTGCATCAATGCCCCCCCACAGAGCGTTTACATACAGGAATGCTTTTGCAAGTGGATGGCTTCGTTCTCTTTCAAAATAGTAAATCCAACTTCATGGGGAAAAAAACAAAACTTGTAGTTCAATAATATTTTATTGTCAATAGCATAAAAGAAATTCAATATTGAACGTTCAGAGCAAGGAGAAAGTTGAACCTATTTACAATGAATGGCAGAAGGAAGGAATGTCACAAAATCTTCAGTAAATGTGCTCTTCTGGTAGCAAATTAATACAAACATGCAACACAGATAACCTATCAGAGCAACTTTAAGAATTACTATTAATGTAAGTTAATACATTAGCTCTCTAAGTAACTAAACCCATAGACTTTGAAAAAAAAATACATGTCAAGGCAGCGTGAACACTTCCATAGCTTTAGTGATATTTGCTAAAGGCATTAAGTTCCTCTTCCTTCCCCATTATTACATTAGACAAAGAGACAAGTTCCTTCAGCACTCATCAGATTCTTTCAGGCGCTACTGTGAATGTCCCTGTGCATTTTAAGTTGCTGCTTGTCAGACATGCAAAACCTTGTCGAGTCAGTGAAAATTCCCTGCCTGCGGTCGACTGCCAACCAAAGGACGGGCCGGGCGTTCTATCAAAAGTGAAAGTGAATGTTTAATGAGATCTGAAATTCCCCTTGAGGTGCTTGCACTTCAGCTACTATAGGTCTGCAACTTCTTCTCCAACGTTCCAAAAGTTCAAAAAGCTCTGAAAACAAAGTTTTTTCATAAGCTGGTGGCACGCTCATTTGGCAGCAAAATCTGACTCTTATGGGCTACTTAGAGTCTTTATTTATTCGCTTTGTGTCAATATTCTACATTTTGTGGCAGGAATATTAAGGTATTGGTTTATAGGGTGCTGTCCAGACTCTATTAATGGAGTGCCACAATATACAGCATGCACAACATATTATCTTTCTAAAATCCCAAGAAATCAGAGTTTGAAGAAAACATTTGTCCCGCAGCATTTAGCAAAAGGAGCTGTGGACTGAACACGTGCCTGTACATGTGCCCAAGTCTCACTGGAGCCAGGAAAGTTTTGCAGATCCCGGGCACCACAGTTTCTGTAGTCTTTCAGGGAAGTGAGAATATCTGGAACATTCTGTATCCCCGTGAAGGAAGGCAAAGCTCTGACAGTAAAATCCTCCAGATCCTCCTTACAGGAATTTTCTTTGTGGAAGACTGGATTCCTGCCAATAACCCTAGATAGTCTGATAAATAATGAATACGTATTTTTCCTTTAAGGTGATTCCTTTTCATTAAAAGCATTGTCTTTTATGAGGCAGAAAAGGGAACAAAAGAAAGGACTGGAAAAGAAGGGCCTATTAGTGTGAGGGCTACTTATGACAAGTACCAGCTGCTTCCTGATGTAGCGAGAGTAACAATTAATTCTTTTAGAAAGTGATTCTCTGGATGCCCAGGTTACAGAAAGATCAGGTGGGACTTAACCGGGGCTCTGCCACTTAAGGAGAACAGAACTTGCCAAAGAAAATGATGTTTCGAGTTTTGTTGTGCCTGATGATGTAAATAAATGGGTGGTCAGCATTGAATTCATCCTTGTGTTGTAGGATTCGTGATCCTGGCACCTCTATGGAATCCCCACCATCCTCAGTTATTTCTAAGCACACTCTGTGAATAACATTTGAGAGGGCCACTCCCTTGGTCTCTGACATTCCAGAGAAATCAGATGTGTTCTCGTTAAAGATATTTTTCAGCCCTAGATTTTCCAGACTAGCCTTGGGATCAATCATCTTTTCCACCTTAAATTTTGGAATGGAGAGTTTGACTTTGGCATTGGCCATGATGCTGGGATTGGTCCACTGCAAGAGCGTCTCTGAGTCGAGTTGTTTTTCAATCTGAAGGATAAAAAAGGAGAGGAAATTATGTTTTTATTCCAATTGTAAAAGATCCTGCTTGATTAAAAACATGAAGCATCATTGCGAACCCAGTTTTGAAGCAGTGTAGATGCACCATCAAAGGTGGAATTGGCCCTGTGGTTTTGCTATGTGACTAATTTCTCTTATAAAAGATCCACCCAACCACTGAGCATTGTTCTCCTCCACCCCACCCTACAACAATGGTCGCTTTGCACTGAAATTTATGACGGCATTTCTTTTCTATACAGTAGCTCTATAGAAATGAATACATGGATTATGATATTGCATAAATAATAGTGAAATAAATATAAAATTAGAAGAGTTTTTATGCATTTCTTGAATGCTTATTTTGATTTCTCTGCTAGGAAATCCAGAATATTCATGTACTAGGCATGGCATCAAATTTGATAACTCACATTAAAGCTAAAGTTACTCTTTATTTTTAAATGAGAATTAAACTGTCGATCATTCTTTAAGATCACAGGTGATGAATGCATCCATTTCAGTTGGTTATTCTAAAAATGAGAGCTATGCAATGAAGCATAAAATGGTTCAGTCATAAAATTCTTCATTGAGCAAATCTTAAATTGTTCCTTGCCCTTCCAATCTCCCCACTGGCTGGAGGAGAAACATGTACAGCAGAGAATGATAATACCTTGACTATTACTATCATGGGACAGTCCTGCACTGAAGTCACTCACGTGAAACCTATTAAAATCAAGCAGATGGCAAGGTCACAGGCTGGTCACAAATTTGTTTTTTAATGGAGGTGGGAACCATTGGATTCTCTTGCTAATCTATAGTTATTTTTTCAATGGTACTGTTTCATTTAGAACAGATTATCAGGACCAAAAGATCATCATAAGTAACTAGAATTTTTGAGCCAAAAGATATATCCTCTTGCCCATTTACTACCTGGAAGTGAGAAGAGAGGAGAAAATTCATCCATAACTCAAAATGATCATTTAGAAGAAAAAAAAAGCTTTTTCCTCCATCTTGTGTATTATTGGTCAAATTATGTCCCCTAAAAATTCATATGTTGAAGTCCTAACCAGCAGTGCCTCATAATGTGATCTTACTTGGAAATAAGGTCCTTGTAGGTGTAATGACAGCCATAGGGTACTTAACAACAAGGATACATTCTGAGAAATGTATCTTGAGGCAATTTTGTCATTGTGTGAGCCTCATACACACAAACCTAGATGGTATAGCCTGCTACACACCTAGACTACATGGTATGAATTTTATGGGACCACCATCGCACATGCAGTCCATCATTGACTGAAACGCCATTATGCAGAACACGATTATAGTTAAGATGAGGTCATTAGGGTGGGCCCTAATCCAATATGACTGGTATCCTTAGAAAAATGGAAAATTTGGACACACATACAGACACACATACACAGGGAGAATGCCACGTGAAGGTGAAGACAGAGATTGAAGGGATGCGTCTACAAGCCAAGGAACGCCAAAGATTGCCAGCAAATCCCCAGAAGCCAGCAGAGAGGCCTGGAGCAGATTCTCCCTCACAGCCCTCTGAAGGAACCAGCCTGCCGACACCTTGATCTCAGACTTCCAGCCTCCAGAACTGGGAGAAAATACATTTCTGTTGTTTAAGCCCCACAGTTTGTGGTGCTGCATTATGGCAGCCAAAGCAAACCAATACAATACGTATTCTTGAATATCCCTTTCTGAGACTCAGAAGATCATTTCCTCTCTTTCCGTACTTTAATAAGAAAAAACTTGGCTTGAGAGTACTTAAAGTAAGTAAGGTAAAGTGCAGGACAGCTGAATAAAGGCTGCAAGAAAAAATGAGGCCACAGCGAGAGGCAGAGTAAGAAAGAGAGAGAACAGTGAATAAAAGAAGAATGAAGATGGGAATTATAATTCAGTCAATAAAGTGATAGATAAAACGTAATGACAACTGAAGTAGCAAGCAAGATGGAGACCAAGGGAGAGCGTCCCCTGAAAGTCAGGGAGTGCTGAGGTGGGACAGGAAATAACGCAGGTGACCCCTGGTTCCTGAGAGGGCCCCTCCTTCCTCCTAGCCAAGGGCTGAGGCCCACTGGAGGGGAGAGCTGAGGGGGAACAGGTGGACCAGGGGCGGCTGGATGGGGCTGATGGTGCAAACAGAAGCTAAAACGTCATTCACCAGCAGATAAAACTTCTACTGGTATTTAAACCTTGTGCCTCTAATAACCTGTGTAAGATGAAGCATAATACAATCTCATATATGTGTATGTATAAAAGGACTTTTTAAAACCCACAGAATGTATGACACAGAGTGAATCCTAATGTCAGTGGACTTTAGTGAAGCGTGTGTCAATATTGGCTCATCGATTGTAACAAATGTCCCACACCAACGCAAGATGCTGATCACAGGTACCCGAGCCTAGAGTTAAGACCACAGATTCTAACTTCCTGGGCTCAAATCCCGATTCTACATACCACCGACAAGTTATGTGATCATGGGCCAGTTACCTACCCCTCTGTGCCTCAGTTCCCTTATTGGTAAACAAGAGTATGGTAATACTTTCTAAATCACAGGATTGTTGTGAGAATTAAATGAGATAGGACACACAGGGAACTTACAGTTCCTGGCACATTGTAAGTGCCAAATAGATGCTGACTGTTTTAATATTAAGGAGGAAGTCTTGGAAAGGACCACGAAACCCTTGGAGACAACCAAGCAAGTGAGATGTAAGGCAGGGCCCTTTGCACAGCCCCACGCAGCACCATCCACACGTCTCCTTGCTACGGCTGGTGGCACCATCATTCTGAAGACCTGCCTCCGTCCTCACCTTCTCCAGGCCCGTGGACTCATCTTCCACATCCTTGGGTAGCAGGATGAGCATGCTGAGGTGCTTATTCTGAAAGGGAAGCTCTATGATCTTACAATTGATACCATCGATGTTACCCATACAGAAAGTGGCCTCCATACTCATCATTTGCACTGGTTTGGTGTCCGTCTGTAAAAGGAGAAGAAATGTGGTTTGCATACTTTTCAGTTTACACATACACACATATATACACATACACACACATATACACTCATATACACACATATACACATAGATATATTTATACATACACATAGATACACATACACACATGTATATATACACACACACAAATATATATACACAAATATATATATACACATCTGTGTATACACACACACATATATACATAAATTTGCTTTTCTTATAGTTTCAGATCATTATGGCTTAATGATCCATCACTGGCATCCAAACTGTAATGTAACCAAACCATCAGAGACTGTCCTGTAAGAGTTTATGACTTCCTTTGAAAAGTTATTCGCATACTTTATAATTTCACATGTTATATATTACAAGAACTATACCTAATATAATACTATATTTGCTCATATAAAACATTAAAAATAAGATGGTATGACTGAAAATATAGGCAAATTTTAACTTAGTCTTTGTAGATACCTATAATTACAAGGTCTTTAAACCATTCCTGGTGGAGCTGACTTGAAAGGAAATTCTAGCACAAACCCACATACCCATTTATATAGCTTTTCCTAACAAAATACCTAATAAAGAAAACTTAGCAACTAGCAGGACAAAATCACATTTGTTTTCTCCTCTGTCACCTTTGGTTTTAGTCACCTCTCCCTCAGTCACCTCCTCCCTGCACCGCCGCCTGCTCTGATCCGAGCACATGAAGAGGGCCTAGATTAAAGATAAGAACCTGGTGACAGAAACAGATGCCGTGACCTTGAGCAAGTCACTCAACCTCTCTGGGCCTCCGTTTCCTAGTCAGGAATGAGGGGATCGGAAATTTCAGGATGCTGTTACCTCTGGAAAAGAAGGGAGAAGGAGACAGGAGGGGAGAGGGCTACACAGACAGAGCAACTGCTGCTATAGTTTTTCTTTAAACTATCTGAAAAAAATAAGGCAAAATAGAAAGGTTTTGCAACGGTGGTTGTGGGGTTTTATTATTCTCCATAATTTTCTGTATGCTTAAAATATTTCGTAATTTTTAAAAAATGAGAATCATCTTTAAGTCCCTTCCGGATTCAACACCCCTCCCCCCCCCCATCATGCAGGGAGCCTGGGAAAGGGTCTTATCCTCAGGCCTTTTCTCTTCTCTGTCCTCATTAATATCTAACCTTGTGTGTCTGATACAGAGGTGACTGATTTTCTGAAGGAAAATTAATTCATACTAAGGAGAAAAGACTGATAGTAATTTAGCATAATTTATTATTTTGATTTATACCTCCCATGGGATATTTGCTGTTAACTGAATCTCTTCGAGGAGAGATTTCAAACTTCATGTAACCCCTGCAGGGATAATATTGCAGTAAAACTTCTATCTGAAATCTTCAAACGGTAAACTGAATCTTACTCCACACCACTCTTGGAGCTAGACCTTACCTATTTTATTTTTTGTACATATCTCTATTTTAACACGTCACATTGTTAGAAATATTTATTTATGTGACTGTCTTTTCACTCCCCACCCAACTAGCCCATAGTCAAAGCAGAAACCATGTCTTATTATTTGGTTTACGCCAGCACAAAGTGGTTCTCACTAAAAGACTTGGTTGATAAATAATTGAAGACTTTGACTTGCTACATAACCGGAAACAGAATTATGAGAGAAAAACATACTTTTGAAATTAATTGGTAATTTTTACATTGATTTCTCTTAAAGAAGATATACATTTGTCTAAAATTCCCCATCAAGTTAGACTGCTAATAGTTTCTGAATTTGCATACTGTTGTGATCTCTGAAATTTGTCATCTATTTCATTTATCAGCACTGAATATGGATACAATAATCCCATTTTCTGAACCATAAATCAAGATATAAATTCTGAAAACAGGACTAAATAAAGATGATCTCAGAAAACACCAGATTTATATACGTGTGTGTGTGTGTGTGTGTATGTGTATCTACTCTACCTTGGTGGGAATAGGCACCATGCTAAACTGTGTTAATAATATAACTCCATCAGTTTAGTCTAGCCCTTAAAGGAGACACCACAGGACAGGAGAAAGGTTTAGTAACGTCACTGCAAAACTTCAGGGGCTGAGAGAAGCAAGTCAAAGGAAACAGAGGACAAGTAATAGCCTCTGCATTCAAAAGGAGGGTGTCTCCCCACGCAGCCTGAGTTGTTTTATTGCTTTGTCAGGTGAAACACTGAGAGATCAATGACACTTCAAATCCTTATTAATTCTCTTTTTAGAGTCTGAGTTTCCAGGATGTGAAACAATCGAGCTTTATGACTTAATAACAAGAATAAAGGAAGAGCACACATTCTTCCTCCCTTCACAAAAGACACGCATTAACACTTTCTTAAATGTAAAAACTACAAATCTGAGGGTGGTCGGCGCAAAAGTCCACGGTGTCCTCACTGACTGTGCCGAGGTTTTGATGATGCTCTGGGCTGGTCCTGTGGCCATCAGGCGAGGCACCATCAGCAACACATTTCAGGTTTCACTTAAACATATACAGGGCCCGTTTGTCAGCCCTTCCCAGGGCGGAGGGCCAGCCACCAGCCAAACACTCAGGAAGGGACACTCCGTGTCAGCGTCACTGAGGCCAACACTCCTCCCCCACTCGGAGCAGAGGCTGCGTTCAGTCACAGTCCACTTCAGCTCCAGATAAAGCGCAACACTAGGAAAGTCCCAAAGCCACATTTAAAACGTAAGGACCTGTATATGAAAAACACAGAGTCTAAAGAGTCTAACGTTTTGTGCCTGGTATCTGAGGCACGCCCCTGTGTGCAGGGTCAGTCCTGCCCCCAAAGGTAGCTTTGAGAAGACCACTGTAATCCGCCGGGAGGCTAAACCGAGGAAGAGGAATTGGAAGGAGGACCTGGCTCCCTCCCTAGGACCAATGGATATTCTGAGCAGGGAAGGAACACAATCAGTGGTTGCTGTCCTCTCCCAGTGAAAAGGCTGAATGGATCTTGCACAGGGCCCCAGGCTGGTCCCAAACGCCAATCAGGTTTTGTCTGCTTTTGACTGTTTATTCAAACTGACCCTTAAGGATTGGTCATTCATTCAACAAACATTTGCTCAGCACCTAGTAATGTGTCAGGGACTGGGCCAAGAATTTATAAACAGAGATGAATAAGGCATTATCCCTGCCCTTAAAAAGCCCGTGCACTAGTGAGGGATCTAGATAAGTAAATAAATAATTTGATTTCGCTGTGAAAAGCACACTTGGGGGAGGGTGGAGGTGGAGAGGAATAACTCTATGGATACAAAAAAAAAGGTAATGGAAGCCAGTCCAGCTAACTCAGGTATAGATTGTATCTGGAAGGTCTTTTCTTCCTGCAGTCTAGCATTACGAAGATGCTATTACAATATTTGGCAAAAACAAAAGTGATTAATGCTAGGTACTCTAGGTGCTGGGAGAAACTTGAAAACTAGAATTGATGCATAGGAGTTCCAAGGTAAAAAAGCTACCTTCAGGTATCGTGCCAACTGAAGCATAGGTTTGAGTGTGCGTTCTTAACACAAGTCAGATCTCATCAAAGGAGACCAAATCGCATCATCATAGAGCATCTTGGGGATTCCTAGGTCATCTAACGAAGTCAGTCACTTTCCCAGTCTCAGTTCTTTGGTTTCCTTTATAGAAGAGGTACTTTACCTATTTATGTGAGTTACTTTGACACGGGACATGGCTTCATTATTCACCTCAGTAGCATTAATGAGACTTCACTGCACAACAGGTTTCTAGTTCTTCCCCATAACGACTCCCAGCACGGCAGGTGAGTAAGCCATACTTTTTCCCTCACAGCCAACAAGTCCCTCAAAGCATCTTATAAATTAAAGGATTAGAACCATTTACTTCACTATTAACAGGTGAGAAATGAGATCACAGAGGAACTGATTCATCTGGAAGAAGATTCCCAAACGGTCAATGATGACCCAAAGGCCTCTGATGTTGGGGTTTGGTTTCTTTCTTTTCTTTTCTTACCCTTTCTTGCTAATGGTCCCAAATATTTGTGGCTATTCTCCAGTTGGTGATTTCGCTCCACCCACTGGGTAATAAATTCTATGAGATCTCAGTCAGCTCAGACCCTGAGGACATTCTGGAAAAGAGTGAGAGTCTCTAGATTATGGTTCTTTTTCTCCCACTTGCCTCCCAGCTGTTCATCTCAAGAAAGACACACTACCTCCTGTGCCCTCATTTTCCTCACTGGAGCAAATGCCTCTGGTCCCCTTTGTTGCTATAATTTTTCAGATCTTAGCTGGGATCCTTTGTCACGCGGCCCCACATACCTTGTTGACTCTGAAAGGGCATTCTTTGGTTTCTGACTCAGGAAATTTCTTCATCCATTTTCCAACAAAGTAGGCAGCATTAACCACAAGGATTTTGGTCTGGTCACTTACGCCATTGTCAGTTAAAATGTTCTCAAAGCGGCCTGCAAACAATTTTAGGAAACCACACATGGCACAGGGTTATTCTTCCAAACTACATCTGACACACACACATGTCCACTCACTGAGTGTTTGACACTTGCTGGAGCCACACCAGGGAAGGCTGGCAGCCCAGACCACCTCGTGTCAGAAAGACCCCTTTCTCTCCTTCCATCTTGCCACAACAAGACTTACCAAAGAGACCGAGGGAGGAGAATGAAGGGAAAAAAGGAGGGAAAAGAAAGAAAGAGGAGGGTGAAGGAAAACACAAGCTCCCACTTCTGGATGCCTATCCTATGCCAGGCAGTGTGCTAGACAATCAGATACACGAAATCAAACGTTTCTCCCCATTTTACAGATGAGGAAGCTGAGACTCGGTGTTAAGTCACTTGCTCAAGATGACATACAAGCAAGGGTGGAGTCAGGATTCAAAGTTGGGTCTCTCCAACTTCAAAGCCTGTGCCATAGAATGGAAATGCATGAGAGCTTCCTTTACGCCTGGCCCTGTCCTTGGCATTTCACGTATATTATCTCCCTTCTCTCACAATGATCTTTAAGGCAAAGATCATTACGCCCATTTAACAGCTGAGGAAACTGAGGCTCAGAGAGGCCAAGTGACTTTCCTAGTTCGCTCAGCTGGAAAGCATGTCTGATGCCAGGACAGCGCTCTCCTCTCCAACCCACAGCTCTCCAGTGCCTCCCCAAACCGCACTGTTTGCCTCGAGGTCAGCTCTAATCACCACCATGGACTCAGTCACAACTATACTTACTACAGAGCTCAAATCCCCAACAGCTGAAATAGTTCAATGGTGATAATCCCTCGATAAAGGAAAGTCGTCACATTTGAACAGCATTGACATTTTGTGCAAAGGATTTGCATTTACCTAATCTCTCGGGTCTTCACACCACTGCTGTCCTGGGCCTGTGACCTGCAGGTGAAGGGAGGGCCCTGCACTGGTTTAATGCTCTGCCATCTTAAAATTCTTAATACATTTTTTAACAAAGGGCCTGCATTTTCATTTTGCACTGAGACCTGCAAATTATGTCACCGGTCCCAGCTATATGATGTATTATATACATGTTATTTAAGAAACCCAAAGACCAGAGAAATAAGGGAGCCGGTGAGTTGCAAAGCTTCAGCTTAAATCTCGAGCTTCTGATTCCAAATTCAGAAGTGTTTGCACCAAACTTTCTTCTCCACTAAAAATCTTAAATTTATGGAGATTTTAAAACAAAGGCCCTTGGAGAGAAAATACAATTATTTAGCAAGTCTAAAAGCAAAACTGTTACACAGCAATTTAAACACAAGCTGCTTTTTGCTTGTAAATTTTAAAAGTCTGCTTAAGCTGGTGTTATTGATACCAGTTTTTTTCTTTTCATACAAAGTTGAAGAAAGTTCATTTCAATGACAATTATGTATGTGTGTATACATTTGCGTGTGTATCTGTATCTATGGCTACCATATCTCATCTTGACTATCATATATTATTTGTTAGTATGTATTATCTAATTTGTTCCTCACCACAACCATGTAAAAACTACATTAGATAACATATGCTCCATTTCACAGTTCAGTAAACTGAGGCTCCAAGTCCAAATACCTCAGTTAATAAGTGTCAGCGTCTGGATTTGAATCCAGGTCTTGGCTGCTCCAAGACTATGTTCTTCCCATGTCCTCAAGCCTCAGCTCCAGAGGGGATGCCAGCATTCCTGAGTCAGTGCAGCGAGGGAGCAGCTGGGGCCCCTCTCACAGGCTGTGTGTCTCCCTTGCCCCCGAAGGGTGTCCCTCCCTAAAACGCTGCGACTACGGCTCAACTGAAAAATCCATCCGTACAGTTCACTCTTTCACGATTAGGTGCTGTGTCCCAACAGGTCCCTCCCTATACACATAAATATATCCCCTGGGAAGGGGGACATGCATACTTATTTGCACTTGATCTCATCTTAGCTCCAAGTCCTCTTTAGCACGGGGTACGACTCACAGCGAATTTTAATGGAGGGAGGAATCATCGGGGAAGGGAGGGGCCTGAGGGGAGCTCCGAGCAAGAGGCAGGGCCCAGTAGATGCTGCAGAAGAGACTCAGGGCTATCAGAGGCCAGCTGGGATAGGAGCTGTGGACTGGGGACAGGTATCCACTGAGGTTTGTTTTGTTTTTGAGGTTTGTTTGTTTTGATTCTACATGTATATCGATTGCCTGAGACCTTTTTGTGTTTTTTTCCTTCATAAATTTGGAGAACTTTTAGCTGGAAGTGGCCTTAAGGATCATCAAGTTCTAGTCCAAGCCCTTCACTTCCAGACTGAAAAACTTGTGAAAAGCTCGTGACTTGCCCAAAGCTGTACTTTGAGAGCCGCACCCCCCCAGGCACCAGGAGGGCCGGCGGCAGCTCGGTAGAGAGCCCGGCAAGGAAGCTACAATGGACGCCCCAGGAATTCCTGCCAAGTGGTGAGATGGGGCAGGAAATGCCCAGAAATCCAAATGGCTGAAATGGCTTTATGGGCAAGAATCTAGCTTGTGAACCCAAAATATGCAAGGAATCCTCCAGATGTTCAAATTTTATGCTTAGCAGAAAGATTCATGAGAAGGCAGGGTCTGTTTACACAGACTTATAGCAGAATCTGTAAAGGATACTTGCCATCCGTGAGATCCTTAATTGAGTTGTTGATCTGAACTTTTGTTTCTTCCAATTTATCTTTGAAGTCAACAGTTTCCATTTCCTGTGCGTAGGGTCTCTTCGTAGAGCTGATGAACTCCTAAAAAACACCCGGTCCACAAAAATCACAGAGTGCCAAATCTGTAGTCAAACCATTGCGTTGTTACACAGTTCTAACAAAAGGATTTCTAAATATCTATTACTGTAAATACACTTTCATAATCTATAACACTACGTAAATTTAAACATCATGTAGAAATCAATGAATTTTCTTTGTATTAAGTGCTTCCTGTCCTTAATTCTAAGACAATATTGATTATTAAATGACTCCATCAATTTAGTATCAGCTTTGGGGAAAAAAAGAAACACAATGTTAAATGTATACAATTATAACATGGGTTCCAATTTCAGAAACATTAAAATGTAGATATGTATGTCTTAGAATAAATGTGCAGAAAAGGGAACTCTATGAGCAGAAAGCTCTTATCCTCACTGAAATAAAAATCCTGTAGGCTCTTGCTACTCAAAGTGGGGTCCAAGGACCAAGAGCCGCAGCATCACCTGGGATCTTACGAGAAATGCAGAACCTCAGACCCCACCCCAGACCTGCTGAATCGGAACGTGCATTTTAACAAGATTCCTGGGTGATTCAAATGCACGTTAAAGTTTGAAACACAGTGCTGTAGAGAATTTAGCAGTGGCTCTAATTCTGCTTGGTAAATATGCAAAACCCTAAATCCCACCCCTATTGATCTTGACTGAAGTGATCTGAGGCCAGGAATTTGCACTAGTAACAAACACCCAGGTAGTTCGGATGCAGGTGGCCCTCCTCAGCCCACACTTGTTTGTACCATTACCAGTAAATCTGCAGGTGATAGGCAACCAACAGGGTCAATGGAATGCAGCCTTAAAAAATATTCCTTGCAATAATTCAAAATGTTGAACGAAAGTTCAACCAAACTAAACATGGCTGATTAAATGTCATAAGCACAAGGCTCCTTGAATTTCTTCAAAGCAACTACAGCCTTAGCCAATTTGATAGTGTTAATTGCAACCCAACCTTAGGACTGGGTATTGCCATTGACTGAGAGGGCTGGAGGCCCATAAGAACATCAGAGAGCCTCAGCAAGATGCAGGGCCTCCACTGTCCTCACTGCCAGCAACAAAATGTATGAAGCATCTCTTTAAGGACAGCCTAGGAAACTTTTAAAATTTTTCCATGCCCAAGTCCCAACTCACATCTCAATTTTTTATTTTATTTTATTTGTTTATTTTTTTGGTGAGGAAGATTGGCCCTGAGCTCACATCTGTTGCCAATCTTCCTCTTTTGGCTTGAGAAAGATTGTTGCTGAGCTAATATTTGGCAATCTTCCTCTATTTTGTATGTGGCATGCCACCACAGCATGGCTTGATGAGCGGTGTGTATGTCTGCTCCTAGGATCCGAACCTGCAAACTGCAAGCCACCAAAGCAGAGCACATGAATCTAACCACTACACCACTGGGCCAGCCCCTCAATATATTTTTTTTTTAATTCACCAGGTGATGGTTGGAAGAAAAATGGCTGTGTATATGGGTCTTCAAGCATAAGAGTAAACTCACAACAATATCTAGTGACCCAAGTCCTCAAAAGTTCTCAACCAGAAAAGCAAAGATCTACTGCAGAAAGTAGTAAAGCTGTGTGAAACTGTTTAACTGGTAGTCTACCTTTTAGATTTGCAGAGCTTGAATTTTTTTTTTTTTTTTTGAGGAAGATTTGACCTGAGCTAACATCCACCACCAATTCTCCTCTGTTTGCTGGGGAAGACTGGCCCTGAGGTAACATATGTGCCCATCTTCCTCTATTTTCTATGTGGGACGCCTGCCACAGCATGGCTTGAGAAGCGGTGCGGAGGTCTGCACCTAGGATCCAAACTGGCAAACTCCAGGCCACCAAAGCAGAGCACGCAAACTTAACTGCTACGCCACTGGGCCGGCCCCGCAGAGCTTGAAATTTTGACCATCCAAACACAATTGAATCAACTCTATATGACTAAAGTAGAGAATGAACTTCTATGTAGTGTAGGATGTTGGCTATATATTTCAAATACAGATTGTTTAAATATTATGATATACGCTGGGGCCAAATTTAAGGACACTATACTACATTGTTCTTTATATGATTCCTTCAAGAAATGGCTGAATTGCCAAAGCTACCTTGGATAGATACCCACATGACCAGTCTAGTAAAACAAACAAAACCGATTTGTGACTGATGAAAACTGTTAATCCATACCGTTATTATTCTTATTGATTTGAGAAACATCAGAACATTGTGTGCATACACAAGTGAGGTGGAGAACTTAAAATGTTGTCCCAGGCCCTGTGCCCTGCTGTTTAAGGAGAAAGAGATTTAAATCATGAGCTGTCTTGCGCCTATGGAGGTATATTTATTAGAGAGGCAATAACCCCATTCTCCATTTCTCTCAGTGAGGAGCTAAGAGGAAGGGTGGGATCTACGAGTGTTTGAGAGGGAAGAGGGAAGCCCACGAGTTTCCCTATGTTTTGAGCTAGAAGATGTGGCTGCAACGGATTCCCCTACATTCAACCTCTCCACTAGGATTGTTTTATTTTAATAAGCCTCAAATCTTAAATGAGCATCCTGGAAGTGAACTTCACTGAAAAAAAGATGTGGGTCTAACCACGTGAAAATGCCACTCCCAGGAAAAAGTTAAATCTTGCTAATCGCTTTAAACCACTTACCGTAGAAGGATTCAGAGATTTGTCCACATAGAGCCGTTTGATTAGTTTCAGGGAGTAAAAGGAACTAAGTTTGTTTACATCCGATGTTACGGTTTGAAATCCAAAGGGCACATCTTTGACATTCTCAAAATGAAGGACCTGTGAAGAGAAAACATCCATTGCCCATGAAGCATTGCCTCTGCCCACTGCAGTGGATGCACGACAGTGGTCAGCGTCTTCAGGGGATACAGTGTATCCCTCCTCAATTGTTTCCATAAAGCAAGGCTTCTCAACCTTAGCACTGTTGACAGAATTCTTTGTTGCAGGCGGGGCGTTGGCTGTCTTGGATATTGTAGGATGCTTAGCAGCATCCCAGCCCTACTAGGTGTCAGTAGCACACCTTTCTCCATTTGTGACAACATAAGATGTCTCCAGACATTACCAAATGTCCCCAGGGGGAGGGTGGGGGCAAAACTGTCTCCATTGAGAAACACTGCCATAAAGATACTCTTCTCTTGATTTAACTGTAGGAAAATTTGCCCTTTCTCCAAAGTGATACCTCTAATGCTCATGCAGAAGGCTTTCCAAACTTGGAAAGGAATGAAGCTGGCTTATCATTTCCACCCAATTTAGAGACAACAAGAAAGAGATTAATACCAAGAGAGACAATCACTAGGCAGGTATCAGATTCCAGAACAGAGGTGTCTCTAGCCAGGCACTATGAAGTCCCTTCAGTTGCTCTAACAAGAGTCAAATGGGCTGATACATCACTGATGGTCAGCAGCAGGGCTGCCCGGGGTAGGCTAGAGCCAGACAGCTCTGCCTTTGAATCCCAGGCTGTTCCTACCAGCAACATAACCTCGCCCAACTCTTCAGGGCTCCACTTTCCCCTCTGTATGATGGACTGAGAATACCTACTTTTCTGAATTGTTACGAGGATTACAGATACTGTATATAAAGCACCTAAAACATTATATGGATTCAGAATGTTAATAATTATTCTTATAGTAATATTCCAAGCCACTCAAAACTAGGACACTATCTTCTGGAGGACTTAAATCCTTTTCTTTTGTTCCAACCCGGCATCTCCTCTGCTTCATGGTGCCACAAACATGATGTCGGGATAAGGCGACTGTCTCCTCACTCCTAATTCCTAATAACCATGCCCCGATGCTGCACCTCAGGTGACGTCACTAAATGGGCACATTGTGCCAATGAGTCACACGGCCTCAGCACAGCAGGGTCAAACGGGCTGGACCAAGGCAGTGTGTAACTCTCATGCCTAATGACAGGTAAAAAGACCAGAAAATTAAAGAACCCAGTAACTACTCTGGGGGAACAACTGCATGTACTGGAAAGACCTTCATTATTATCATTATTGAGGAACAGACTCCTTACCAGGAAGTTCTCTTCTATCCCTTCTCTAATGGGAGATGAGAAATGAAGAAGGGGAGATGGGGAGTTGAGAGAGGAGGACAGATGAGAAGATAGAGCTCCTCTTCCCACAACCAAAGCCTCCTTTCCAATTCCCACTCAGTTTGCAGCATAAGTTCTTCATGCTAACCCAAATAACATTCTGTGGGTCATACTTTTGGGGAATTTGTGGATACAAGAAGACGTTCCCTTTTGAAATGCTAATGAGCTCATGGAAGGAAATATCCTGTTGCACCTAGAATGATCAACTCAAGAACAATAACGAAATGGAATTCGTCTGGCCTTCACCTACTATCTAAAAGTAAATGGGGGGGTGGGGGGTGAGAGAACGGGTGAAGGGAGTCAAAAGGTACAAAGTTCCAGTTATAAAATAAATAAGTCCTAGGAATGTATAGTATAGCATGACGACTATAGTTAATAATATTGTGTTGCATATTTGAAAGTTGCTAAGAGCGTAGATCTTAAAAGTTCTCATTACAAGAAAAAAAGTGTTCTAACTGTGTATGGTGATGGGTATTAACCAAAGTCATTGTGGTGATCATTTCACAATATATAGAAGTATTGATTCATTATATTGTACACCTGAAACTAATATAATGTTATATGTCAATTATACTTCAATTCAAAAAAGTAATTTAAAAAAAGTAAAATATAACACCTGAGAGTTGTCTCATTTGAAGGTCTAAGAATTTTACAAAGCTAGATAGTCAATCAAAGCCAAAAAGAAACTCTAAAAATAATTTTTATATATATGCACACATATATACACATACACCTATAGACATATACATGTGTGTGTGTAGCATCATTTTACTTCACTCTTCTCAAATGGGATACCCAAGCCCCAGGGAGTATTCTAAAACATAAGTAAGCATAATCCATCTTCTTATTTATCCCTGTTACTTGAAGGTAGATAGTTTAAAATGTTATTTCTATATTGAAATAGCATGGATATATTATACCTATCAAATATGGATATATTATAGTTTAGAATATATTAGAGAGTAGAATGTAATTGAGCCTGCATCTTAAAATAAACCCTGATGCTGTAAATAAGTTTCGTGCATAAAACAGGGGTGTGGATTTACACTCTTTCTCGTCGGGATATATACTGTGGAACATTTAACAAACACCACCCTGATTGAGCCTCACAATGTAGCAGATAGAAAGCTGTCCGGTAACTTGCTAAAGGCCAATCATTAGTGAAAAACTTGCAATCACCTAGCAGATCCCCAGGTTCTCCACCACAACGTGGTGCTTTTTCTAAACGTGGGTTGCAGGGCAGATAAATAAGTTTCCACGTTTAAAAATACATTAAGAGAGTGCTAGAAATGGCGCAACTCTCCATCCTGAGCAATTCTGACCACAGAGCCCCCTTTCATTTTTCCCAGGCACTGCCTCTGTGTGCTAAGAATTTTGTTCCCACTCAAAACAGACGCAAGGTATGGGGCTTACCTGTCCAATTTCATTTGCTGTGTCACCTTTGGCACCTACTTGAGCAAGTGACAGAGAGGTGGAGAGACAGATGGGAGAAAAGAGGACATTGCCTGCTGGCTCCTTCTCACACAGTTGTTTGAACAGATCAACTGCAAAAGCTGAATTTGCCAGTCTCAGGGCGTCCATTGTGGGCCTGGAACAAAGGACAAGGGTGAAGCTTTTTCAGAAGCGTCTTTAAGGTATTCTCAACTGCATTCTGTGAACGCAAGGATTTTATTCAAACAAAGTCATGGTCCTGGATAGACATGAAGAAAGCACTTTCAGTAAATACAATTTAGAAAGCTGATGCTGAAGAAACCTCTGGGAAAATGTCCTAAGGTCTGAAGGGTCCAGTGTGTGAGGTCGTCTGTGTGTACACCTTTGCTGGAATCTCCAAATTCAGGCCTCCTTGGCCACAGTGGCCACTGTCAGGAGCACAGTGGTCACACCTCTTCCTCAGCAAGTGGACAGAACAGTTGAAGGCACTGATCAAAATCCTTCGTTTTATTTATCCATATTGTTTCAATTAGGATTTAGGTTAAATCATATAAAGTTGAAATTTTTATAGATCAAAACAGTCATATCACAGTTTTATGTGGTTCCAGTTAATATTTAGTAAGTGTTGTGCATTGATTTGTGTTCCCAAAAAAGATACGTTGAAGTCCTACCCCTGGGTACCTGTGAATGTGACCTTATTTGGAAACAGGGTCTTTGCAGATTTAATCAAGTTGAGGTCATTAGGGTGGCCCTAATCCAATATGACTGGATTCCTTATAAGGACTTCAGTCATTACAAGAACCAGAGAAAAGACACAGAGACAGACATGCACAGAGCGAAGAAGATGTGAAGACACACAGGGAGAAGGCCATGTGACAAGACAGGCAGAGAATGGAGTGATGCTTCTACAAGCCAAGGAACACCATGGATCGCTGGCGGCACCAGAAGCTATGAGAAAAGCATGGAACAGATTCTCCCCGAGAGCGTGCAGAGAGAGCGTGGCCCGGCCAATATCTTCATTTCAGACTTCTGGCCTCTAGAACTGTGGGAGAATTGATTTCTATTGTTTTAAGCCACTCAGTTTGTGGCACTTTGTTATGGCAGCCCTAGGAGACTAATATAGTAAGTAATGGCACCCAGTGAAGGTCAGGCCCCCAATATGTAGCAATATTTATAAACAGCAGCTGTTATTGTTTTTGTGTTAGTACATATCCACTATGTGGAAGACTCTACACCGAGTGTTATAAGGATCAACTGAGACCCTTCTTCTCTGAGTCTGCAATCTCTTCGGGCAGATATGTAGACAAATAAGTAGAATGCAGGGCTGCCCATGCCTTGTGAGTGGTGTAACAAGTAACATGGGAGTTAAAGAAAAGAGAGGGCAGCTTCAGCTAAAATCATTGGAGCCTGGTAAAGCAGAGACAGCAGAGGGCGGGCGTCTAGTCTTGGCTGAGAACTCTCTTATTTTAACTCAGCGGTTCTGCCAGTGGTGTCCTAGACCCCTGGCAGTCACGAAGACCCTTTCTGTAGGCCCATGAGGTCAAAATTATTTTCATAATAATACTTAGACATTATTTGTCTTTTCACTTTCAATCTCTCCCAATGTACAGTGGAGTTTCCCAAAGGCTGTGGGACGTATCTTCCATTAAGCCAAATATTACAGAGATTTACAGAAATGAAAAACAATGTTACTCTTCTCCCTGCATTTTTTTACTTTAGAAAAGTTATTTTTCATAAAAATCTGTTATTCATGTTTTGTAATGGTTACATTATTGTTATTTTTAATAAATTAGTAAACAAATATTTCAAAATTTTTCCAGTTTTAATTTCTAATTTGGTGAGTACCAATAGATGTAATCAATAATTTTAAAAAAAAAAAAACAGCTCTTTGGGATCTTCAGTAATTTTTAAGAGTGTAAAGGGGTCTTGAGTTTAAAAAGTTTGAGAACTGCAGTTCTGATGAAAGGTCCACCTATCTATCTAGTCCAGCATTCACCCATCAAGCCTGAAAGCACCTGAGTAAATTGAGCAGTCAGGGCATAACCATTTCTAGAAGCCAAATTGAGCTGCATGGCCTCTCTGGGCTCTGCCTGACCCCAGGATGGCGTGTTTCTCAGGGACAGGATTCATATTACCACCCCTGGTTGACTAGTGCATAGATCAAGGCTTGAAGCAGTCCCCCAAGCAGCCAGGGACTGTGCCATCAAGCACACAGACACGAAGAATGCACATGACATTGAAGATATTGAAGGTCATCATGTAGGACATGCTCGCTGATGTCAAACAAAGCATCACCACTCAAGACAGAGGGCTTCCTTCAACCAGGACCCAAGGATGCGGCAGAGTCAAATGCACAAGTATGATCTCAATTTTGCAACTTAAACCTGAACATAAATTCAAAATGTGAAGATGTGATGATAAGATCAAGGAATGAGCCCCTGGTCTTCAAATATTTCTTCAGAATTCTCCCTTTTATGGGAAATGTGGCTTGTGTGTAGGATGGACTCAAAAAGACTATAACATATCTCCGAGTCTGTAAAAGCAAGTTCATGAGCAAAAAGATGTTGTGTTGACCCATTCATGCTCTCTGGTCATCTCCAGTGACTTCTTCCTCCTTCACTTTATGCCCCTGATGAGCACAGCTAAGTGAACTCAGGTCACGTTCTCCTTACAAGCTTATTACAAAGTAACCTGCAGTCAGGGTGGGCACCTCACATTTCCTTTAAGGTCCACTACCTTGTTCTCTCTCCTCTGGGGCGGGGTCAGGACATGGGACAACATCACATCCAGTTGAGGCAGACCAGCCTCAGGTGTGCAGAGGGCAATGAGACAGAAATGGAATCATGAGGAGTGTTTTAACCAAAATGTCCACCACAGGGAAATTAAAAGAAACTTCACAGAAGATTTGGAGAATCCTATCACAGACTTTCAGGACAAGAAGTCTGGCTTTCTCCCGCAGCAAACTGAACACTGATAATACTGAGTTCATCCACAACTAAAACCCAATATGAGCTATTTTTCCACCAAATAGAGAAGCCTGAATGAGCTATTTCTTCACCAAATAAAGAAGCCTAAATCCAGATCCCCATGAAGCTCTCAAAGCTTCAACAACTTGAGGCCTACTCACATGAATAATAATATGAAAACATACAAACTGTTTTAACAAACACAAGTAGTTCTTCCCAGTGTATTTCTTACCCTCCAAAAAGAGAAATTAGGATAATTTGGCACAGTCAGTAACAAACTTTACTTTTTGGGGGGGGAAGATTAGCCCTGAGCTAACATCTGCTGCCAATCCTCCTCCTTTCCTGAGGAAGCCTGGCCCTGAGCTAACATCCATACCCATCTTCCTCTACTTTATACGTGGGATGCCTACCACAGCATGGCTTGCCAAGCGCTGCCATGTCCGCACCTGGGATCCAAACCGGTGAACCCCGGGCCACCGAAGCGGAACATGCAAACCTAATCGCTGCGCCACCAGGCCGGCCCCAAACTTTACTTTTAAAGTTTGATTTCTTTTATGTAGAAAAACTGTGTTTAAGACCTTGGAGTAATCAGCTGAGGGAGTTTGACTGCAAACTCCTAGACGTGGATCCTCGAAGTAGATCAAAGGGGAAGGAATCCTTTGTGTTAGCATTTTGTTCCAGTGAAATATTATTCATTCATTCACTATAACATTTTGAGATACATTTCGTCTAAATGGCTCTATGAGTACAAGATTGTGGTGGCTTTGCCTACAGTTAATTACACAATGTAGTTACACTGTGTTGCAATTCAAGGCTTGGATTCAGGTCCCTGTTGCAGAATGCAAATCAGCGCACACCTGACAGCTGAGGCTTTCCTGGCGGTCGTGGTCCCTCCCTCTCAGAGTCCCTTCCTTTGCATGAGTCCTCAGTGCATGAGTCAAACAGGTCCGCCTTCCCATCCACATACTGACTAGCTCCTTTCTCAGAAAATTCTCCTCAGGTTGGAGAAGGTCCTACAGCCCTTCATATCTGAGGTCCCAGCAACAATAACGTTCGCTGCTTGACAAAGATATCAGAAAAGGGCTGTACATGGGAATTGTTGTAGGGGCAAACAATCACCAATTAAGTAATGAGTCAGATATTGCATGGTAAATCTGATCAGTTGCTCAGTGGTTAGTCCCAAGTGACCTAAAAACACTGTTCTGAGTTAGTTCAAAGGATGACTTTGGCCACAGCCAATTGCCACCTCACTGTGGCTGCAAGACAATCAAAGAATTTAACAAATCTCAGCATTGTTAGCAATACATGTCCAGGAAAATGCATCAGGTTCCTACATGGACTGTTTTGCATGAGCAAATGCTACGAAAATTACAGGTACAAGAATAGAGATGAGCAATTCCTGTAGGGTAATCTCCACGTCTAATGACTTGTGTTCAGAGCGCTAATATCACTGCAGATTCTTTCCATTTTATTATTACTTTGTTACAGAGATAACTTCTTTGGTTTTCATGAAAACCTAACAATTATAACAAATAAAGAGAATTTTGATTACAGCTCCAATGTAGAAAACACTACCTCTTTTAGTAACTTAAAAGTCTAAAAAGGGGCTGGCCCTGTGGCTGAGTGGTTAAGTTTGTGCGCTCAGTGTTTCGTTGGTTCGAATCCTGGGCGCGGACATGGCACTGCTCATCAGACCACGCTGAGGCAGCGTCCCACATGCCACAACTAGAAGGACCCACAACGAAGAATATACAACTATGTACCGGGGGCTTTGGGGAGGAAAAAAAGGAAAAAAATAAAATCTTTAAAAAAAAAAAAGTCTAAAAGGCACTTTTATTTTAATCAGAGAAAAGTGAAAAGGAAGTTTAGGAAGTAATACAAATGCAACAAACAAGTTGTAAAAATTTATTGCGAAGCTGCCTGTTTTTCACACTATGTCCTAAAATCATAAACCTTTAAAGTGGGACAAGATCTTGGGCTGGATCTAGTCTGGCCCCACCCCTTCATTTTACAATGAGGAAAGGGAGGCTGACAAAGATGAAGAGATTCTCCCAGGCCACCCACACAGGAAGTGAGGATGGTAAAACCAGACCCGGCATTCACTTCTGGCTCCCAGCCTGCTGCTGGCCGACCACACCTTACCACCTTCCTCCTCAGTAATTGTGTCTTTGCTGGCATCTGTTCTCTCTGAAGTCTTAAGAGTTCCAAAAATCCCACGAGTCCTAAATTATCCCTTTAGAAGTTCCAAGATACCTTGCATTTTTTTAAATCAACACAATACTTTTTTTCTGATTTTCCTACTTAAAGAAGCTCTTGTTCTCTTTCTGCCATTTATGTTTGAAACTATTAATATTATATTGCTTCCACTTAATAAGTAATCAGTACCTAATGCACGTCAGGCACTGAGCTAAACATTAAGCAATCAAAGGTGAACACAACATAGAGGGTTGTCAACCTAGTATCATGGCACATGTGACAGGTATGATGAGTGTTTTGATGGAGGGCACAAGCGTCCATGGGAGCACTTGGGGAGACAGCTCACTCATAATAGAAATCGCAGGGGAGTCTCCCCAGAAACGGTGACATCTAAGTCAGTCACGCTAAAGGTGAGTCCCAAAGGACAGTTAGGAGTCAGCCATGCAAATGCATGCCAGAGAGAACTGACACAACTCAGAGACTCAGAGACTAGTCCCAAGGGAACAGAGACGCATGTGCTAAGATGCTAGGTGGGCCAGGAGGGCTCACTTCTCTAGACTTGCAGCTTCTCACTGGCCCTGCAGAAAGATTTCTAAAGTTTTTAATGCATCTAAGCCAATGGTCCTCACACTTTTCATCTGTAGACCATTTGGATGAGATAAAGGCCCTGTGGATAGGTTGACCATACGTCCCACTTTGCCTGGGACAGTCCTGGTTTATGTCTGTCATCCTGACATTAGCAATAGTACTCCTTTCACTCTCAAATATGCTGTATTTTGAACAAGATATGTTCACCGTACCTATAGATCATCTATCGTCTTCTATGCACATGCGTTCGTGCACATGAGCACACACACACGTACAGCTATGTGCATAGTTTTTTCTTTCCTTAAAAACTAATTTTTCACTGTGTCAGGTTATTGTGGATATTATTTAGTCTAGTCTGCCTCATTTTACAGATTAAGAGAAATGATGTGGTTAAAAAACTGTTTAGTGTAGAGGGTCCTTAGGCAATGCCATGAGGAACCCTGCCTACTATAATAACTATCATGGAATGCCCAAAAACCTGGCCTCTCCTGTCCACATTCTAACCTCGAGAGGAGAAAAGTCCAAGCAGGATTAAGAAAATAGGAGATCTTGCAGCTTCTGCAGGGTGAAAAAATATCATGAGGATTAATGAAGTGATGAAATGAATAAGTGTAAATGGCAAGTGCTTTGTCACCAGGAAGGGACAACAACGTAAATATAATCAATAAGGTGAATTGCTTAATTTCCCACGGCTGGGGAGCCTCTGCTTTGCTCGGATTTTCTGAGGTCATATCTGCTCCCATTGGTTTAGAAGCCAGATCTTGACCACTGAGCCACCTCACTGCTGCCGAACAGTAAACTAGAGCAGAACTCGCCACCCCAGAATGACCAAAATTGCTGAGACTGCATCCCTTCAAAGTCAACCCACAACCCAGAGGGACTGAAGTGGCAGGATTCAAGGCGTTAGGAAGCAACGATATAAACCTGCTGAGTCACATGGAGAATCTTTTCTTCAGACATGTTTCCAACTCTCCACCCATCAGGGAACCCATCAAACACTTGCACATAAACGGTGGGGACTCAGGTTTGGGACCCCACTACTTCTATTCCAAACCTCTTGAGTGATGTAGGGGGTGAAAAAGCTGTTAAGATTACCCGTGGTGTCATGGAAAAGTCCACGAGCTGTGAGTTTGAAAGTCAGGATTCTACATCTTGCCACTTATAAGCTGTATGGCCTTGGACACCATTCACCTCTGTGAGACTCTACTCCTCATCTGCAAAATGAGGGACTGAGCTACGATACGTCTAAGACCCCTCAGCTCCGCGAGTCTGAGCCTAACCTGATTACAAGTCTACGGAACAGCCTGGCATGTGCAGTTGATCTTTAGTATGATACACTTAAATGAAGCCGTAAAAACAGTAACGTCTATGAGGAAGAAATTATGAGCCAATCAATTTGAAAAGTCACCCAAGAATACACATTTGAAATCTGTAACTTGTTTCAAATATCCTGAAACCAAGAAATAGGGAGAAAGAACACTTTCGGGTTTTTTTTCTCCCCAGAGCCCCGGTACATAGTTGTAAGTCCTTCTAGTTCTTCTATGTGGGATGCCACCACAGCACGGCTTGATGAGCAGTGTGTAAGTCCACTCCCAGGATCCAAAGTGGCAAACCACGGCCTGCCGAAGCAGAGCGTGTGCAAACTTAACCACTACACCACTGGCCAGCCTGGGAGAACACTTTCTGCCATGAAGAATGTGGTTGCAAATAAGTGAACAGTGAACGCTTAAAAATGCCAAAAAGAAGAGCAGTTCTGAAGCCTGGATCTCAGCCCCACACTGCCAAGCAGGAAGGTGAGCCAGACACTCAAAGGCTTTTCCACTTTCTCCAGATTTAAGTACCACACCCTTCCTGAAACTAGCATTTCAAGTTCAATCTGAATTCCAAAGTCGGGCTGAAAGTGTCCCCCGAAATACTTTCTCCTCCACAAATCACTGTTGCGCGCCACCACCACCAAAACCTCCTAGCCGTGTTATTTCTTCATATTCTTACCTTGTATGGTTAAGTGATTTCGCTCCTTACGTGGCATTCCTGGTTCTCAAAGGACTGGGAGCTGGAGATGCCGCCCATGTCCGGGGGGGTGATAGGCGACAGTACTGAAACCGACAGCCCATCCTTGAAAATGACCCTTTACGTTGACTGTGTTCACCATCTCCAACCAGCTCAAATAACTGCTATGTTTTAAGAATTGCCAAAAAGAGGGAAATCACCGGCCTTGCTACCCCCGCTTTGCTTACCTGGAGTTACAGTTCTCCTGGAAAACAGACGGCAAGGGAAAAGGAAAGCGAGGTGCGGAAGGACCTTGGTGCGGAGGGAGCTCTCTAGGGCAGAGGCAGCCGGGCTCACCTGAAGCCTGGGCCCTCCCACTGTGACCACTCCCAATCTGCACTCTCTCTGTCCCGCCCACTTCTGCGCTCTCCGCTCTTACTCATGCCTCTTGGCAGCTTGTCCATGATTGAAAAAAATGATTCAGGCTGAACTTGCTGTTGTCTGCACAGCTTCTAAAGGCCTCCAACATGCTCAGGCAGGAAGGGCCTGTCGCTGGATCCTGCCTTGGGCTAAATACATACATACATACATAAGGGCAACCCTAGTAGCCCATGTGGGACCGGAAGGCAAAGTATTATAGGAAATAAAAGGAATATGTGATGGCCATAATTATTCGTACTTCTCAAATACGGTGGCACAACAAAAAGCACTCTAACCTCCATCCTTTCTATGTAACTGCAGCACCTCATTCTGCTAGATGCCAGAGGTAGCTTTCTATTAAACGGAAAGACAATCATGAAAGACAGAAGAGGATGTATAAATGAAATAAATTATACTTAGCAAAATATGTAATAACAAAGTGATAAGAGAAATTGTTTGATGGAGTTCCCAATAAAATATGGTGATTAGGATTATACAGCTTTGCTCTGAAATCTCTTCGCGTGGGCCAGTTTTCCTGCCTTCTTGCGGCTCCTTCATTTGGTGAAACCTACTCCCTTCCCGTGGAATCCACTCTCAGGAAAGGAGCTGAAACTGAGCCAACTGCTTCTCTGCTGTGCTTACCTAATATTTTCTATTATTTATTAACCACATTGTTTCAAAATGATCTATTTATTTTACAGTCTCTTCTATCTGACTATGAGAATCTCAAAGGTAAGGACCAAGCCTCATTCATTTTTGTAACGTCAACACTTGGTATGGACTTGACAGAGTACCCAGTCAAGAAATGCTTGTCCACTAAATGAATGAGAACAACTCATTTTGCTAAACTAAGATTGACTGATAGTTTCCCTTCCCCCCACCCCATGCCTGGGTATTTTTTTGTTAACCAGGATCAAAGTCATAAACTAAATGAGTTGAACTCTGAAAGTAGAATTTCAGACATCAGTGGAGCAAGAGGAGGCAAGAAGGTCATAAGATGGTCATGTGGACAGGATACCTCTCAAAAATTACACTCTCCAGCTGTAGCAGGGAAATGTGGGTTGAGGGGCAGAGTCATACATTTGGAAACTGACTCTATCACTCATTGCTTGAAAACTCCTAGCCAAAGTGCTTAGTCTCTCTAGTCTCAGTTTCCTCATCTGTAAAATGAGACACAAAGATGCATGAAGAGACAATATGTATAAAGTGTCTGGCACACAGCATTACTTCCTAGTAATGGTCGTTATTACCACTCTGCCTATTCCTCAGACAGGCACAGACTCAGGGAATTATCCTAACGGCCAAAAGGCTAGTGCAGGATATTCACATCTAATTCACTACAATCATTTATTGAACACCTGCTGTATGCTTGCTATTGTGACCCACAGATTTTAAGAGACTTGCATTCAAATCAGAGAGCTTTGTCCATTCTCCCTTTTGATGTTCAAATTCCCTCTACAGCTCTCCTGCTCAGTGCTTGTCTAACCTGGGCAGAAACAATTCCGGCAACAGGAATTCAGCAACACCCAATGAAGCCAGAACATAATTCTGACTGTTTTAAGTAAATGTTTCTTTAAAAATATTTAGTGCAATATGGATTGAAAGAATAAACATAGTTAAAATGTCCATACTACCTAAAGCAATGTACAGATTCAGGCAATCCCAATCAGAATCCCAAGGATATTCTTCACAGAAATAGAACAAAGAATCCTAAAATTCATATGGGGCAACCAAAGACCCCTCAATTGCTAAAGCAATCCTGAGAAAAAAGAACAAAGCTGGAGGCATCACAATCCTTGACTTTAAAACATACTACAAAGCTATGTAATCAAAACAACATGGTATTGGCACAAAAACAGGCACACTGATCAATGGAACAGATTTGAGAGCCCAGAAATAAAACCACACATCTATGGACAGCTAATTTTCAACAAGGGAGCCGAGAACGTACAGTGGAGTAGGAAAAGTCTTCAATAAATGGTGGTGGGAAAACTGGGCAGCTACATGCAAAAGAATGAAAGTAGACCATTCTCTTATGCCACTCACATAAATAAACTCAAAATGGATAAAAGACTTGAAGGTAAGACCTGAAACCATAAAACTCCTAGAAGAAAATATAGGCAGTACACTCTTTGACATTGGTCTTAAAAGGATCTTTTCAGACACCATGTCTTCTTGGACAAGGGAGACAAAAGAAAGAATAAATAAGTGGGATTTCATCAGACTAAAGAGCTTCTACAAGGCAAGGGAAAACAGGATTGAAATGAAAAGACAACCCACCAACTGGGAAAAAACATTTGAAAATCACATATCCGACAAAGGGTTAATCTCTGTAATATAAAAAGAATTCACACAACTCAACAACAAAAAAATCAAATAATCTCAATCAAAACATAGGCAGAGGATATGAACAGACATTTCTCCAAAGAAGATATACAGATGACCAATAGGCACATGAAAAGATGTTCAACATTACTGATCATCAGGGAAATGCAAATCAAAACTACACTGAGATATCACCTCACACCCATTAGAATGGCTATAATAACCAAGACAAAAAATAGCAAATGTTGGAGAGCTTGTGGAGAAAAGGGAATGCTCATACACTGCTGGTGGGAATGCAAACTGGTTCAGCCACTATGGAAAATGGTATGGAGATTTCTCAAAAAACTAAAAATAGAAATACCATATGACCCAGCCATCCCACTACTGGGTATCTATCCAAAGAACTTGCAATCAGCAATTCAAAGAGATTTATGCACCCCTATGTTCATTTCAGCATTATTCACAATAGCCAAGATGTGGAAGCAACCTGTGTCCATCAACTGATGACTGGATAAAGAAGATGTGGTGTGTATATGCAATGAAATACTACTCAGCCACAAAAAATGACAAAATTGTCCCATTCATAATAACATGGATGGATCCTGAAGGTACTATGTTAAGTGAAATAAGCCAGATAAAGACAAACACTGTATGATTTCCCTCATATGTGGAAGATAAACAAACATATGAACAAAGAGAATTATTTAGTGGTTACCAGGGGAAGGAGGGTGCAGGGTGGGCACAAAGGGTGAAGTGGTGCACCTATATGATGACTGACAAATAATAACGCACAACTGAAATTTCACAATGTTGCAAACTGTCATAACCTCAATAAAAAAAAATATTTTGTGTGAAATGATATACCTGTTTGGAGGAAGAAACATTTGCTCTATAACTCCAAAAATAATCTATAATTTTCTTCTCTCTCTCTTTTTTTTGCGCGGGGAGGGGGGGGGGTGGTGAGGAAGATTAGCCCTGAACTAACATCCATTGCCAATCTTCCTCCTTTTGCTTGAGGAAGATTGTCACTGAGCTAACATCTGTGCCCATCTTCCTCTATTTTGTATGTGGGATTCTGCCACAGCATGGCTTGATGAAAGCTGTGTATGTCCAAGCCTGGGATCCAAACCTGTGAACCCCGGGCTACCAAAGCAGAGAACATGAACTTAATCACTATGCCACTGGGCCTGCCCCCATTCTCTCTCTTTTATTTGCCACAAAAACCATGTTATTGACTGTATATTAAAAAGAGTAGATTTATTTTGCAGGGAAGAACTATAGCTTAAAGAATGAATTATTCATTCATTCATCATACAGTTTTATCAAACAATAATTTCCTCTAGTTCAACAAAAGTAATCATCATTCCAAATATTTTATAACCTAGGAAACTGGCTGGTTGGTGCTCTTTCTTACCCATAGGTTGACACATTGCAAACATTATAACTTGATTACTCAGCATGTTGGCTGAGGGATGGCTTGACACACCCAGCCACTCCTACGAACAACTCAAAGGAGCTTTGTTAGAGCATGCTTAGAATCATTCTCCCTCTCTTTCTCTCTCTCTCTCTCTCTCTTCTTTTCCAAGAAGATAAACTTCAGCCACAAATTCTCGAGCACTCTCCCTAGATATCTAAAAATAATCAAGTATTTTTTTCCCCACTGACAAGTATGATTCCCACCAATGCGTGTGACAGCTTTCCTATACAACAGAGGAATAATGAGAACCCTGCACATTTCCAACAGTTCACAGAAATTGCACAATAAAGGCTCCCATCTAGTCACTGAAGACTATTATCTCCTTTTCATATGTGGAGAAACTGAGTCAGGAAAGATAAGGTAACTTTATCTTAGAGTTTCTGACTGAGACAAAAAAAATTGCTTTCAAAACCCCAGACTTATAGTCCTTTACCCTAATTATGTCCACTTCAAAAATCCAAGAGCTAACATGCTTTCATGCTTTTTGTCTTATCAAATTCTGTTTGAGAAGCTTAAAATTCTGTCCGGAAGAAATTTTAAATGATAACCTGTTATGAAAAATAATTTACATTAAATTTTCTACTAAGAAGCAAACTTAAGTGGAAAAAAAAACCTGACAACTAAAAAGAAATTCCCAACTCAGACAGTGCAAAAAATAAAGAGTAAAAGCAGGACTCGAGTTAAACCACAGACAACCAGGTAGCGTAAGAGGCATGATTTGCCTTTAAAACCCTTAATACTGTGTGCAAAGGCATATCCGAGCAGAAAATTCAATATCAAATCACTTAGATTTGGTTGATGGATGTAAAGAAAAGGGAGGTGACAGTGTGGAAAAGAGAATTCATCTTGGAGTCGATTCTGAGCCACACTCCACTGCTCATTAGGTATTAATCATCAGCAAGAAACTTAACTTCTCTGGGCCTCAGAATCCCAAAAAGTAATAAGGAGGGAGGGGTGGGACCCATGGTCCTATGTTCCTTTCAGATGAAAAGGTCAAAGAGTGAAAGTCTGCCTTTACCTGTCCAAAAAGAGCTAAATTCCTCTTGAAAATGCATAGTAGGGAATGCACTTGGATGTGACATAATAATGAAATAAAAATTAAACATATTAGTTCATCAGTGACTGGATTTTAACTC